ACGAGAGGCAACTGACCCACGTTTCTCTCTCACACCAATTTTTCTCTTCCTCTCTTTCTCCCTCCCTTACTTTCTCTCTAGCAATAAATTTTAAAAATCTAAAAAAATATCATAGGCATGGTGGGATGCTTAATAACCTGGTGGTGGGGTGGAGGGGCAGTTATATGTGCCAGTTTCCCGGGTGTAAATGCTCCCGCCGTGGCTGATGACAAGCTACCAACATAAAGGCGCCAAATGAGCAGCCGGGAACAGAGCTCCAGGAGCAGCTGCCACACGGTGTTTCTGCTGCGCAGGTGCGGCTGATGCCCACGCCTTCAAGGACGTAGATAATAGGAAAATGTAGGGAAATTACTGGGAGGTGGTAAGCTGTGAGTACTTATTACCTTTTAAAAATATGACTTAATTGCTTTGTAAGTTTATATAACTTAATTTTTAATAATGGCTGGGTTTAACAACTGGTTCACAAAATTTTGGAAAATTTTACAGTCATCTCTCATTAGCTAGTATAAGCCCACTCCAGCACCCCGCTCATTTCCTCTTTGCTGAAATAGTAACGTTCTCTGAATTTTTTCTTTAACTTGCTTTTTACTTAAAAGATTCTTTATCCAATAAGTCATCCATGCAACCAATGTGGTGCCATGTGCCATGCGCTGTGCTGGGAACGGTGCACTTGGCCTTCGTTAGCTTATGGTCTGGTGAGGGAGACAGTCAGTTACCCAATCCACAGGTAGATAATCAGCATTGATAACAAAAATGCACCTTGTAAGTAGGTCTCCAAAAAAGACATAACGGGATAATGTCATGGAGAGCACGCTGAGTGGAGGCAGGTGTGTGGGGGTCAGGGTGCGGCAGGGAAGAAACTTCTCGAAGCCCAGGCCAGGACGAGCTTCTTCTGAGAGGGTGATGGTAACCAAGACTCCAAGAGTAAGGGACCAGCCATGCAAAGTTCGGTGGGAAAGTGTGCAAAAGGATAGGTCCACCTGGGCACCATTTCTGTGAACTTTACAAACATGCAAAACCAGTTCTGCACACTGTTTTTACAACAGTCCTAGCAGAGTGAAAATGGGGAGGCTCCCCACAAGCTTTGGGGTGGAGGTTACCCTTGGAGGGAGGGAGAGCAGGAGAACGAGTTGGAGGCAGCAGTGGTCTTCAACGACACCCTGGTATTTTCTTGTGGCAAGAGGAAGGGGAGGTCTGGGACAAACATGGCTGGTGGTGGTTTTCATTGGCTGTAGCTAATAGGTACCAGGCTATCAGCGGCATTGTTCCCTATAACTTCTGGGTGCTTGAGATAGTTCATGATTGTTATTTTTTTAAGAAGAGGGGAGAAGAGGTTGTGGGACCAGAGTAATCATTCACTCTTGGATCATTTTGGCTGTAGAAAAGTGAGGGGGGAGAGAGAGAGACTCAAGGGCAGTTGGGGAGGTAGCCAGTGACCGGGTCGTCTTGAAGGCTGTGACCATAAGTCCGAGTCGCATCGTAAGTGCAGCGGCTGCCCCCTGGAGCTGGAGCGTGACATGCTGGGATTGGCACTGATAGAAGAGTCTTCTGGCTGCTTTGAGGGGAGCTGGTGGAGAGCTAAGGACTGGTATCAGGGAGGTTAGTTCAGATCGCCAGATGGAGACACGGTGTCTAGGCGGAGCTGATGGTGGTGGCCTGAGACCAGGGTGGATGCAGGAAGCACCAGAGAGGAACGTTTTTGAAATCTGATTTGAAGGACTTGCTAGGGATTAAATATGGGGTGGGTGGTGCGGATTGAGAGAGGGAAGAAGGGGCAGTGACTTTCTTTTTCTAAAAGCCAGTTTTATTGAGATGTATGTCACATACCATGGAGTTCACCCATGTAAAGTATATTACTCAGTGGTTTTGGGTAGGGATGATTGTCTCTTTAAAACCTGAGTGGATGGTGGTTTCTGATTCTGTGATGGGGAAAATGAGAGATGTACAGGCTTAGGGGTGAGGCCCGAGGGAAGTTTGAGATGCCCATGAGACATCCGGGGCGGGGGGCAGGGTGTGATATGGGACATTAGATACTCACATCGGGAACTTGAAATAGAACATTGTGCATAATGAACCACTCGAGAGTCTCGGGATGGATGTGAATGTCCATAGTAAGAGTACAGGCAGGAAGGTGTGCAGGGGGAGCAAGGGGACCCGCAGTCCAGGTGGATTAAGAGTTCATGCTTTGAGCCCCAGCCCGCTCTGCCAACCCCCACGCACACTGCAGTGAGAGACCCAGAAGAGAGAGAGAGAGAAACGCAAAGCGATCACGGAGCTGAACACAGAGGTTCCTGTCTGGAGCGGGCAGGGCGGCGGGGAATCTCGGCTCCTCGAGGACGACGAAGGAGAAGTGCCCCGTGTGAGGCGCAGAGTGGAGCCGGACTGGCTGCTGGAAACGAAAGCAAGGGAGAGAGAGATGGGCAGACAGGCTCGGACTCAACGTGAACCTTCAAATGGAACGAATCTCCAAAACGAACGAAGAAAATTAATGTAAAAAAGATAGTCTCCAAAAGTCAATGACAGATAAATTCACTCTAGTTACAATAAAATGAGTAGAGTATTCTAAAAACAAATTGAAAATAGCTGTTCAGGGTCTCTATCAGGAGTAGATTGGACGGCTAGTAACTGAGATTCAGAATAACAATGGCTCGAGCAAACTAGGAACTCAGTTTCCTTTTAGGAATATGTTCTCACGAGGTGGCCCCGCCCCACCCAGTCCTCAGGGAGCAAAGCTTGATCTGGCTCATCCTGTCTCAATGCTTTGACTGTCCTCATAGTCCAAGTTGGTAGTTAGACCTCCAGCCATCACATCTGCATCCCGGGCAACAGGGTGGTAGCAGCACGCACGTAGCAGCTGTCTTGTGAAGAAGTTTTCAGAAAGCTGACACACGACACTTTCATCTACATTTTATTGGCCAGAACTTAGCTAGAGGAGAAGCAAAAAAATGTATTCTGTTACTATAGGTAGCCACGTGCCCAGTTATAATTCAGGGGGTTTGTTACAGTGGGTACAGGGGGTCATAGATAATGAGAGGTAATTAGCAGTCAGAGCCTGAGGCTCCTCAAAGAAATAAAGGAAGGAGAATGCCCATTAAAAAGATCAAGATGGGGGGGGTGTTGTTTGTTTGTGTGTTTGTTCAAATTGAAAACCTCTGTTCTCCCTGGCTGGCATAGCTCAGTGGATTGAGCGCGGGCTGCGAACCAAAGTGTCACAGGTTCGATTCCCAGTCAGGGCACATGCCTGGGTTGCAGGCCACAACCTCCAGCAACCAACATTGATGTTTCTCTCTCTCTCTCTCTATCTCCCTCCCTTCCCTCTCTAAAAATAAATAAATAAAATCTTTAAAAAAAAAGAAAACCTCTGTTCTTATAAAGACATCATTCAGAGAATAAATAAACAAGCCAAAGGCTTGGAGAAAATATTTGTAAGTCATATATATATGGTAAAGGAATTGGTTCCAAAATGTATTTTTAAAAACTCTCAAAACTCGACAATAAGGACAAAATCCACACTGGAAAACATGTACAAAAGATCTGAACGGACGCTTCACCAAAAAAGATACTCAGCTGACATGAGATCACAGGGGCATGGGGACACTCTGGCGCATGACGGACGTGTGTGTTTTCCTGATCGTCATAATGGACGCGCACGTCTGCCAGGACTTATCAAGTGGTGCGCGATATGTCAGTCTCGCTCCAATGAAGCTGCTAGACCAGGAAAAGGAATGAAGGCAGCATGAAAGAAAAAGGCAAACTAAGAAAAGATGGATGCGAAAAAGAACCAGTTAAAAATTCTATGAAAATTATTAATTGCATTAAAAGTACTCAGTAAAAAGGTAGAACTCAAAGAGAGGTACTCCGAGAAAGGAAGAACCTCTCTAGCTGGACAAGCTCTGAACTGGATACCGTCAAAGAGAATTAGTGAGTTGGAAGCGAGTTCTGAGAAATTTTCCCAGAGCACTACCCCGAAAGAGAAAGAGAGAAGAATGTGAAAGGGTGCTTAAAAGACATGGAGAATAAATTAAGCTGCTCCCAAATAGATTTAACAGAAATTCTTCAAGAAGAGACTAGAGAAAATGACCAAGAAGCTATACTCAAAAGCCTAATAGCTGAGAATTTTTCAGAATTGAAAAAGAGATATGTCCTATCAAATAATGTGCTCATCGAGTAATGTGGAAAAATTTTTAAAGTATATCTCTACTTCAAAACCACACAGTGGAAGTACAGAAGATCGAGAATAAAGAGAAAGTCTTGAAACTGACCATAGATTATCCACAAAAGCTCAGCACTAGACAACATCAGAACAGCACCAGTGGGTTGCTGAAGAGCTTATGGCAGCCTTTTTGGCAATCTTCAAAGGCGCTGAAAGAAAATAAAACTTAATCTGCCTAAAATTCCATACCAGCTGAGGTCTGATTCAAGAGTGATGATGAAATAATGACAGTTGTACAGAAGATAAAGGGGCTCAGCCCAAACCCTGAGGGTCCTGAACATTCAGAGATTTGGGAGGAGAGGATCTATCTCAAACCATGTATGTCTGTGTGTCTAGTCACCCAGTGCTGGCCTCTGCCTCCCAGAAATGAGAAAGAGAGAGAGAGAGAGAGACAGGTTGGGGGGGGGAGGGAGAGACAGAGAGAGAGATGGGAGGGAAGGAGGGAGGGATGGAGGGAGGGAGGGAGGGAGGGAGGGAGGAAGGAAGGAAGGAAGGAAGGAAGGAAGGAAGGAAGGAAGGAAGGAAGGAAGGAAGGAAGGAAGGAAGGGGAAGAGAAATAGAGAGAAAAAAGAAAAGAAAGAAAGAGGCTGGGTTTCACTGTTGATGGCCCAAGCTCGGTTCCAGCCCTGCAACAGCCCTGGCACGGTAGTGGAGGGCAATAGGAAGTTTCTGTGCGGTATCAGGTGGGGCCAGGCCCTGGGCCCTGGGCCCTGGTTTGGGGAGGAGCCCAATAATATGAGAGCCCCCTCCTGTAGGGCCCATTCTAGACTCTCTCTCTGTCTTCCAGATCGTGGACAAGAACAACCGCTACAAGTCCATAGATGGGTCAGATGAGACGAAAGCCAACTGGATGAGGTGAGTCCTGCTCTCTGCTGGTTGCCCTGGAGCCTGGCCTGAACTCTGGAAAGAGACCAAGAGAGCATGCCGGGCCTCTGGCGTCGCCAGTGGTGGGGGGCCCCCGAAGGCCCCAGGACTGCTGTTTGCTGGGTTTGGGGTGTGTCTAGCTCTAGGTGACCCTCTAGCTTCCCCAGGCTTCCATCAGGGGGCTCCGGAGGAGGCCTGTGGCCAGGGTTACAGGGACCCCTAGAGACCACTCCCTTCTCAGTGTATCTGGAGTACCCAGGCCCCCAGCCCCTGGCAGCATTCCCACACAGGGGCTGCCCCTCCCCCAGCACTGTGGCACCGCTCACAGGGCAGACTCCTGCTGGTGTGGTGCAGGACCCACCCCAGGGCAGCCACAGCAGTTTAAATGGCCCCCGTGGAGAAGGAGGCTTCCGGCACAATCTCGCTCAGTTTCCGACGGCGCTCGCAGCCCAGGCATGAGCACTTTCCAGGGTGGTTTTACTGTGGTCCAGGGCTGGGACAGACGTTAGCACCAGCCAGGGAGAGCAGGAGAATGGCCGGGGTCGCCCGGAAGCTGAGCCGAGCTTGGACTCCAAAGGCTCCCCTTGTGGCTCTGTGTTGCTGTTCTGTGTCGTGTGCCAGGGCCATGCTGGTGGCATCTGGGGGTGGGGGTGGCAGGTCAGATATGCCTTGTTGACTTTTTGGTGGCCTCTGTCTGGGACTTGGGAGTGGTGACCGGGGTCTGGGTCTGGGCTGGGAGGGAGGGCAGGCCTTGGATGGCTGGACCCGGGGAGCACAGCCACACCGTGGATCGGGCCCTCTGGTTGGCATCCTGCAGTTCTGTGACTCGTGGAGACAGGGGTGGGGGTGGGTGGAGGGAGCTGGGAGACTGCTTGCAGGGAGGGCAATGAGGGGCTCGCTGTATTTAAACTCTGAGACTTCCCAAGCCAATGAGGAAAAATTGGTTTGAGGTAGGCAGGCTGTGGCATTGTCTCCTGTCCCCTTTTCTGTGGCTTCATCGGCCCCCTTGCTCCCGCACCCGAGAGCCTCAGCCAGGCCCTGGAAGTGGCTCTGGGAAGGCAGTCCACACTCCTCACTGCCTCCTCCTCCCCGACCGACCGCGGTTACCGAGCACCTGCTGGGGGTCAGAGCCTATGTGGGCGCCTCGCCCTCCCGGCCCTCCCGGGCCTCACACCTTCCACCATGGAAACTCCTTTCTCTGAAACAGCTGTTGAGTGGATGCACAAACTGTGGGCTCCGAGGGCCCCGATGGAAGGTGGGAAGGGGGCCTTTGAACCGAGCCTTCAAAGGGCCCAGGCTTTTCTTTGAAGGCACAGTGAGCAGAGACTCAGAAGTGGGGGCCAGGTGTCCGGTGGGCTGACAGACGGCCCCTGGCCGGTGCGCCTGTGCCCCGCTGCCGCACCCTGGCTGTCGCAAGTGAAGGAGAGAGTGAGCCCTGTCTGGTGTCAGGCCTTCCCGAACTGTCACTTCCAGACACTTGGGCCCGTAGAGCTGATTCTGTTCCACTTTTGCACCCACCTCTGACCTCTCAGCCTGGGAACAAGGCTTCACTACAGCTCCAGAGAAGGGGATTCGTCATCCGAGCTGAGTGAGCGATCATGTGGCACCCCACATTCTGTTTTACGTGGGCTGGAGCAGAGCCCAGGGCACTGGTGTTTTTAAAGCTCTCCATAGTAGTTCCGATGCGCCACTAGTGTTGAGAACCACCTCTCTGTGCCGCTGTGAACGCTCCGGGGGGTAAACTGAGGTCCAGAGCGGGTCAAGGCGATGCATTCAGGGGCGGAACCCGGACTTCTGCGCCGGCGTTCTTTCTGCTTGTGCACAAAAGCATGGTTTCCTGAGCCTCGTGTCGGGCGGGTTCCATCACCCCTACCTTGCTGGCATGGGGTCTGTCCTGTTCTGCTCCAGGCCCATTCTGATCCAAAAGGACACCAAGGTGGTCACAGCTGCAGGGCCCTCATCTCATTAAAGACTCAAGGAGTGGGTGGGGCTGGGGCTGTGGTTCATTGCCATGGAGATGCCCCTCTGGCGGTATCTCCAGGGAGGGGAAAGCCAGCTCATCCTCTTTCCCCCTGAGTGTGCGGCTGCCATTTGCACAGCTTGTTGTCATTGCAGACACCAGTCACTTGCACTGTCGCAGCCTAGGGTCTTGCAGGAGATCGAACGGAGTCAGGTTTTCCAAAGAATGAGTGGGCCGGAACGAGAATGACACCACATAGGGAGCGTTGTTGACTCGATGGCAGCCCTCTGCCAGGTGTCGTGCGTTCATGAAATCAGCGATCCACCACCAGGGGCTGCTTTGTCCCCTGGGGGTATTTGGCAGTCTCGCGGGGCATGTTTGGCTGTCACGTCTCCATGGGCGGATGCTGCTGGGTTCTCCTGGGCAGCAGCCAAGGCGCTGATAAACCTGCACACTGCCAGGGCACCGCCCCCAACCCCACCCCCACCCACTAACAAAGAATTTCTCAGCCCCAAATGCCAACAGTGGCGAGACTGAGACACCCCTGCACGCAGTCCTCCTGGCGGCCCTGCGAGGCGACGCCAGAACCGTCGCCCTTGTTTTATAGAAACGGGTTCGCAGGGGAGACCTGCCTCTAGCCTCAGGCCTGTCCGAGTCCCGGGCCCAGGCCTGGTCCTCCTCTCCTGCCTCTGCCTCACCTCCGGGGCAGCGGTGCTCCGGAGGGACCTGGGGAGGAAGGGAGAGGTGAAGGGCCTCTGTGCTCCTGGCCACCCACTGAAGTTTCGGCAGCAGTCAGAGACGTGAATCAGGTCCCAGCTCTCCCTCCATGCCCTGGGTCCCTGTCCTGGGTGGACCTTTGGGCACTAGTCGAAGGGTAGCCAGAACCACACTGCAGAGACTGAGTTCCAGGGCCAGAGCAGGTGCCAGGTCAGAAGGCGGGAAGGGCCACGCTGCCCCCTTGGCCAAGGCCCCTGGCTGCTCCGTGCACATGAAAGCCAAGGTCTCTCTCTCCTGGTATCCCTTGAACTGGAGCTCGCCTTCCTGTGGGCGCTCACGGGCTCCTCACACTCTACCCATAAGCTGCCAAAAAGCCACAGCAGCCAACTCCCAAAAGGAGCAGCTGCCCGCCGGCACTCCAGTTGGAGGGGAGCCCGCACACACCCAGAGGTGGGGACTTGGTGGGGACTCTCGGGCCGGGGATGGAGAAGAGAGCCGCTGGACAGAATAAGCTCTGTGTGACCATGCCCTAAGTCTGGGCGTCACCAGCAAGGCCACACACCATGGAATGCCCATGTGAATAGTCCCCCTGTTTAATTATTCTTCCTGCAGGCCATTTACAGTGGCAGTGGCCTGGTCCTCACCCCAGCAGTCATCCTTTGTTTCCGTTCTGGGCTTTAAAGCTCCTTTACAGCCTTGTGCTCCCCCAGCCCCTCCTTAGGAAGAATCCCCTAGGTCGGTGTGGTTGTTATTCCCTTTCCGGATGGAGAGAGTGGGCTGGGAGAGGCTGAGCAAACCGCCCAGGCCAGCACAGTGGGTCGGAGGGCCTGGAGACGGAGGTGGGGGGCTCAGTCCGGTGCTCCTACCACGTGCGTGCGCCGTGTGGCCTCCCGCCTTCTCAGCAGTGGTGGAAGGACCTCTCGGCAGGAGGAGGGTGTGGTGGTGGTGAGCTGCTGAGGGCGCCCAGGTGCCTCCTGGCTCCCCAGCTGGGGGCCGGCATTAGGAAGGAGGAGGACCACCCACGTTGCCGGTCATTTACCCAATTGTGCTTTGTGGGATATTCAACCCAAGGAATGTGGCACCCCTGGCCGAGCGTAAGCGGAAGCCCAAGTTCTCCAAGGAGGAGCTGGACATTCTGGTCACCGAGGTGACCCACCACGAAGCTGTTCTCTTTGGGAGGGAGACCATGCGGCTGTCCCATGCCGACAGGGACAAGATTTGGGAAGGCATAGCTCGGAAAATCACCTCCGTGAGCCAGGTCCCCCGCTCCGTCAAGGACATTAAGCACAGATGGGATGACATGAAACGGAGGACCAAGGACAAGCTGGCTTTCATGCAGAAGTCTCTGTCCGGCCCTGGGGCTGGGGGCCGGGCCCCTACCATCACGCTCACTGCCCATGAGAGGGCCATCGAGTCAGCGCTGCTCTCGGCCCGTTCCGGGCACCGCTTCCCCAGGGCAGAACTGGACGGCACCGACAGCCCTTCGACCAGCTGTGAGTACCACCGCCGCCCCTCCCCAGCTCCTCCTGCCGCTCCCTACCCTCCTCCTTGGCAGGTTCCCATCCACTGGCCTTCTCCTTCTCTCCCTCTCTGTTTCGCCCATCTCCCCATTCTTCCCTCCTTGTCCCACCGTCTCCTCCACCCCTTTCCGTTCATTCATTCCAGAATGTTTCCTGAACACTGCGCCAGGAGTTGTGTATAAATTCTACACCGGCCTTGCTCTTGGGGAGTTCCGAGACTCGTGGGAATAGACAAACTTTAAGTAAATAATTGCACAAGGAAATTTGTAATGAGGGACTGAGGGACCAGCACAGGAAGTCCCGAGAGCCGAGTTCATAGGGGTGTGACCTCTGCCATCTCTTGGGCCCTGGGCTCCGTCCGTGCTGGGCTACATGCTCTGCTAGTCCCTGCCCGAAACTCAGGGTAGTTTTGGAACAAGGCACCCTGCGTGTTCATGTTGCATCTGGCCCTGCCGATGATGCTGCGGCCTGTCTGAGAGCACGCAGTGGTGGGACAGGCTCTCCCCCAGAGGCTGGGGAAGGCTCCCAGGAGAGACAGCTGAGCCGGGATGCACAGGGTGAGGAAGAGTTAACCAGGCCGGTGACTGCGTGGGGTGCAGAGGAGGGGAGGCGAGAGGAGCGCCTCACAGGCAGAGAACAGCATGTACAAGGCCCCGCATCAGGAAGGCGCTTGGCACGTTCCAGGAACAGAGAGGAGCCAGGGAAGCCCAATGGAGCAGGCGAGGGGGAGGGGGAGGGGCACGGGAGGAAGCCAGCCAAGTCTTGAGGGCCGAGGCCACGGAAAGATCAGTCCT